TAGATCCATATAAAGTGACCCCTTGAGAGTTTTCTAATTGCATATTGTATTGAACATTACTATAATAATTCAACAAAGGTTGTTGTTGAGGCAACCCAAGATGCAGGAACTAAAAAGATTCCGTGCTTTCGACAATTGAATTTAATATTCACTTGATTTACTATAGCATTAATTTTGTACTACCAATGACCGACTCTTCAGAACTAGGAAAGTTCCCCAGGTTTTTGTGTACTATCATAAAAGAAAATACTTAAATAAAACCATGTTTGCCTTTTCTTTCTGTTCTGTTCCAATTACTCCATTTTACTACTATTCTCCCTAATCCCAGTACCAATAGTTGTATTCACAGACTTTTTAACTAGTATTTAGTTTAAATTGTCTACCAATTATTGACTCTTTGTAAGTATTAGAAAATATCACCTCCTATTCATATTAATATTCCGTCTTTAAAGTTTTTACACGCTTTTTAAAGAAGACATCTAATAAATTTAAATTCTACTATAATTATATTTTACATTTAATTAAGGACGGTGAGGTTATCGGGTCAAAAATAGCAAGTATTTTTCATCAATGAACTCTCTGAGAAAGTAAGGAAGCAAGTGGGTGCATAAGGACGAAGTAAAACGTCAGAGTTAGATGATACGATGTATATCCACAAAACTAAGAAATATCAAAATTTTCAGCAAATTCGAAAAAAAAAAAAAGAAATACTAACCAGAATAAGCATAGCCCCTCAACGTGTAAGGTCGCTGAGTCGTCCAGGCGTTAATAGGCAAAATTTCTTCATGACATGGCGTCGTAATGACAGAGTTAATATTAAGCTCGTTGATGATGTACTCTGGCTTGTACCACCATGCTGCACACAGATTAACCATTTGATTTGAGATAATGACAGGACCATATACCTAGATGCGTTGAATATAATTGTTTCCTTTTTATTTACTTTAGTGAAAGGAAAATTCAAAACCATATAATTAGAAGTAAGCTTTCAGTTGATTTTGTATTCTAAGAAATATTTTACTTCTATGTGCAAGTCTCAACTAATTAAAATATATTTATACCACTTAATAAAAATGATAACTAAATATAAATATGTATGTTAGTCACATAAATTGAAATAGTTACGGTACGTACCTTCAGTATTTGCAAGTTCAGCATCAACATGGGGAGGAAGAACTCTATTGTCCTTGAAATGATAATAGCTGTCTGATTCTTGGGTGGTGACTATAATCCTCTTTATCCATTTCACCATTCTTCCTCCAATGAATCCTGGAATTATCATTCGTACTGGAAACCCGTGGTCGGGTGCCAATTTTTCTCCGTTCTGCATGTAAGCTACGATGATATCTCGTGCTGGATCCATTGCAAATTCCTTCTTAATGCTGGTTCCATACTTTGAACCACCACCTCCCGGCAACACATCAGCTCCTTCGAAGCAAACATTAAGCGCCCCTTTATTCTTGCTAAAAACACCACACCGTTTTAGCAAAGCGCGGAGGGGTACCCCGCGCCATATAGTTGTTGAAACGGCAGCGGCGCCCCAGTTGAAACCAATGGTTTGTTTAACCATGTTCTGTTCTTTCCTTCGATTGCCAGCACACACAAGCGTAACCGGCAATTCTCTACAAGGGAATTCGTTAACCAACTGGTCCATTGTGAATTTCATAGGACGCTTCACTAGTCCCGTGACTTCCACGGTCCAGTCATCCCACGTGCCCTTGGGAACCGGTCCATGGTTACGAACGTAATGAAGTGGGACCGGTGTGATAAAACCGTGGTGCATGAGCCGGTTCAACGGTGGTTCGGAGTTAAATGGATGCTTTCCGGTGAGACGAATCATGGAAAAGTTGCGTTCAATCCAATTATCAGCGGTACCTTCGTCCCTAGTGTCATGAACAGATGGCTCTAATTCTGAATTCCCTTTTTTTATCATTTGAAGGTACTCATTTTTTTCGTCATCATCATCGTCGTCTTCACTCGACGAGTAATCAAGGTAAATGGTGGAATTTGGTTTCTTTTGGAAATTAGTACTGTTGGGCGAAGGGAAGTTGCAGCCACGAACCGGGGAATCAGACCGGGGCTTGAAAGACCGGGATAAACCGGCTTCTAGGTGACTGAACTGCCTGTTTTCGACAGATGCCGCCATAGATTATTCTAAAAAAGAATATGAATGGGTATTGGGGAAAAAAAAAAGGAAAGAAGGAAGAAAATTTTTCTCTCTCAAAATATTTCTCTCTATCTCACTCTAAGATTTGATTTTCTTGTTCTGTTTGGGAACGAAGTTTGTTAATGCGTAGAGTGGCCTTATATAGAAACGTTACGGACTCTCTCAGTGCCTCCATAGCCCCATACTATACATAAGTAGGACCCAAAAAAATCGACACCCAATTTAATTTGATTTAAAAAAATAGTGACATCACAAAATAAAATAAATAAAACAATTCTAATGATTTACACTTTTTACGCCCGTAGGGTCGGGATCAGAGGAAGATGCGGTGTTGGGGTAAATAGAAATGGCTTAAAGATATGCAGCTGTTGGTTAGCCCTCTGTTTCTTCTTATTGCCGTGGTTTTCACTGAATTATGGTCAACACATTAACCATTATTTCAGAGGAGTGGCTAGGTAAATGTTTGGTGGCATCTGATATTTACCCGAATTAAATATAATTAAATTTTCAGTAGTAAAAAATTAAGGTTAAAATATATATCATTAACTTTTTTTTTTTTGGTAATAAATGGGAATATTACCATTCCAACCCAAATGCTTCACATCCTAAGAGCATCAAGTGTACTAGCACTTCTAGTACATCAAGACCTCAACAAAAAATAACTCTTCTAAGTACAAAAATCCAACGACTTTAGAAGAAAGAAATAAAAAATCAATCAACAGAATTCAACCTAACTACATATAGTCTTTGTATCATCAGTGGACATTGTTTAGCTCTTTTAGACTCTGCATACACACTCATTCTGTCCACAAGCTCCTTTTTAATTTGCCCAACACAGAACTCCATGTTCAGGTTAATTTGTCTAAAAATTCTCCAGTTCCTCGCTTGCCAAGTATGGTATACAATTGCTCTTATGATTGCTGTTGCAACTTCCTTCCTTAATTGCTTCCAATGCCTCCTTTTAATCCATTGTATCATCTCTGGTATTGCCATATCTGGTAGTCTGATTGCTACCCAACTTATCAGAGCACCTCTCATATTTTTTACCCAACAACAGCCCCCAAACAGATGTTGTTGTGTCTCCATCACTCCCAGATTACACATGCAATACTCAGCATCACCTGTGATAGGAATGTGCAGTTGTAATAGTCTTCCCTTTGTTTACATTTTTTGTTGATATGCCAGCCACAAAACAAATCTATGTCTTGGTAACATTACCCTGCTCCATATCAAATCCATTTCCCTGCACCTTGACTTATGCCCTAACATTACATTGTAACTGCTAGATACAGAATAATCTCCATTGCTCGTCAACCTATATGTGTTCCCATTGTACCATTGTGCCATATTATGTTTTAAACTATTTATCTTCTTCCAATACCAACTACAGTCAGAAGGTGGATTATGCTCCCAAATATTCCTACAGGAATTCATATACATCCCATGTACCCATCTCACCCACAGTACTTCCTTGTTTGTTACTAATTTCCATAGCAGTTTACCAACAGAAGCTATATTCCAATTTTTACACCCCTTAATGTTTAGTCCTCCATATTTATTTGGTCTACATAGTACATCCCATGATACCAATGTCATCTTTCTATGTCCTTCTGTACTGCCCCATAGATACTCCCTGCATTTCCTGTCAACTGCTTTTATAACACTTTGAGGGAGTGTAAATACAGCCCCCTAAAAGTTGTATATTGCAAACAACACTGCGATCACTTGCAGTCTACCTGCATATGATAGTTGTTTCGCATACCCTGATTGAATGTTTATTGTAATCTTCTCCACTAGCTGATGACACTCTACTTTGCTCCACTTCTTTGATGTTAAGGGTAGCCCCAGGTATCTCATAGGTAATGTACTCACTAGGAACCCTGTATCTCTCACAATAGACTGTTTTGTAGCCTCATTCATCCTGCTAAAAATATGTTTGATTTCTCCATATTAGCTACCAACCCTGACACTTCACTGAAATGGTTCACTACTTCCATCATCCTGAGGATAGATTGACTGTTACCTTTGCAAAATAACATCAAATCATCTGCAAATATCAGGTGTGTCAGTTTGGTGGTCTTGCACATGGGGCGAAATTGAAAATCTGGGAGCTCACTCATTTTATTTAACCCTCTAGATAGGAACAGTAATGGAGACATAGGATCTCCCTGTCTCAACCCTCTTTTTCCTTCAAAGTAACCATATCCTGCACCATTCACTTTCACAGTGAATGTAGTTATTGTAACACACATCATAATCAGTTGGATGAACGGCATTGGAAAATCATAACCTTTAAGAACTTCCTCCAAAAATTCCCACCTAACCATATTATATGCTTTCTTTAGGTCAATCTTCATCAAGCATCTTGGAGTAGTCTTCCTGTTATAATGCCTCAATAGATCATGGCATATAAGCACATTGTGAATAAGTGATCTGCCTTCAATAAATGTTGCTTGATTGTCGGCTACAATTATAGGAATGGCTTTCCTCAATCTTTTAGAAATGATCTTAGAAATACATTTATAGATAACATTGCAACAAGAAATATGCCTGAATTGGCTAGCCTGCAAGGGATTCTTCACTTTTGGTATAAGAGCTATACTAGTTGAATTTATCTGAATAAGTATTTGCCCATTATCAAGAAATTCCAACACTGCCTTGGTCACCTCCTCTCCAATAATTGACCAACATGCTTTATAAAATCCACTCCCATATCCATCTGGACCTGGACTTTTAGTATCATTTATACTGAACATAGCATTCTTCACTTCTGGGCCTGTGTATGATCTTACCAATTGCAATTGTTGAGTAGTTGACAGTACTTTCGCGTTCTTCATAAAGCTCTGAATGGCATGATCCCTGTATCTTCCCTTTGTCCCCAGTAGCTCCTGATAATACTCCACAAATATACATGATATCTCTTCCTGCTTAGTTTCAGGCATCCAAACTTATCAGCAATTTGGATAATGGCTTCTTGCAACCTTCTGTGCTTTATCACTGAAAAGAAATATCTATTATTATCATCTCCCAACTTAATCCAAGTAGCTTTGCTCCTTTGTTGAAGGTATACTTCTGCCAAATAAGATGATCTCTTGAATTTTTGGAACTTCTGTATTTCTTCTAGCTGTAGCTCAACATCCAGTGGATTTCTATGAAGCTCTACTTGAGTTGCAGCCAAAGCCATTCTGTCTGCATCATCTTCTTCAATAACATTACTGAAATAACTTCTATTCAACACCTTTAGTTTTTGCTTTAGCATTTTTAGCTTCTTAACCACTTTGAACATACTACATCCTTCAACATTCTGTCCCCATCCCTCTTTAACTATATCTATAAAGTTTGGATGAGAGGCCCAAACATTACAGAATTTAAAAGCAGCTTTGACCCTCCTAGGTGAGTTAGCACTTGATAGCTTAAGTGGGAAATGATCACTTATTCCCTCCTCTAAATAGTAAGCCATATAGACTGGCATTGAATTGAGCCATGCTGTATTAATGAATACCCAATCAATCTTTGATAAGATCCTATTATCTCCATGCCTATCATTCCAGGTATACCTGCTCCCACTGGTTGGTAATTCAAGCAGCTCACATTGCTCTATGCACTGCTGAAACTCTACTATTTCAGCCAAGGTTATAGGATTGCCTCCCACTCTATCTTCAGTATGCAAAATAGAATTAAAGTCTCCCATAACTATCCATGGACCCCCACACTCTTCTTCATAGTGTCTAGGTAGCTTTATAAGCTTCTTCTTTCTTCCTTTGTATTATAAGCATAGACTATAGTCATCATATAAGTAATCTGCAACCTGTTGTGAGTCACCATACATGTTACTGCTTGATAAGCCATAGTACTCAGAGTGACTTTAAAACATTCCTGTCTCCATGCCAACCTAATTCTACCATTATAATGTTCCCTCAAATTGTTATACTCCCTCATCCTCCAAATAGCTTATTAGCCACTTGATCAATTTTCTCAGACTAAATTTTTGTTTCCACCATGCCTATCAACCCTATCTCTTTTTTATTACAAAGGAGTTTCACCTTCTTTTGCTTGTTAGGGGCCTTCATACCCCTAACATTCCAACATAAAATGTTATCCATTACCCCTAGGAGGTGATGCTTTCCCCCCCTCATTCCCCTCAACTTTACTAATATTAGTACCAGTTACAGCAGTATCGTTTATCTCCAACACCTGAAAGTTATTATGATAGCTCCTATCACCAGCTCCCTTCCCCTGTTGTACTTGTCTACTTGTAGTTCTTGTAACATTACTAGGTGTATCCGGCCTGCATTTTCCTGCCTATCCTACACTTTTTGCTTTCCAGTCTCCATTATATTCCCTTGTTTGTTTCTGATTCCTTCCCCATCCTTAATAGAAGTTGGTTGAGTCACCTGTTCTGTTACTCTTTCATCCTTTTTCCCACTACCTTCCTCTGTTGGTTTAGGCTCTGTAACTTGGTTCTTTGTTTTGCAAACTTGTTCATCATGGCCATATTTCCTGCATGCTTTGCACAAAGTTGGCTTCCAATCGTATCGCACTTTCTGCTCCATTAGTAACCCCCGTTCATTCTTAAAAAATACTTTATCTGGCAGTTTATCATCCATTTGAACTTTAACTAGGAGACGTGGAAAACTCAGCCCCAACTTCTTCTCTGTGTGACTATCTACCATCAATGGTCGACTTATTAAACTTCCAATCTTGCTTAACCCTTTAGAACTCCAGTACTTGAAGCCCAACCCAGGCAGTTTAACCCATATAGGAACAGTATACAATTCCTGTGAATTCCATATCCACACGCCAAGCTTTCACAATGACTGGCTTGTTATCAAAATGGTATATACCACTTTGTAATACTTCATTCATCCCTATGATAGAATCAAATCGCACTATCACTATCCTATTTTTTAGCATAGATACCTTGTTTATGCCATGTTTACCCCACATTCTACGAACATATGCATTAAGCACTATGAATGGTGGGTGAGCTCCCAAAACATAGCACACGATTGCAGTTTTTCAGTAGTCAATTTCAGAACTTATGTCCTCAGTCTCAATTTCACAAACAGGTGCTTCGTCATGCAACGCAGGTTCTACAAATTTAAGTTTAAATCCAACATTAGTTACCTTTGTTATATCAAAATTATCCCATATGGAGCCCCTAGCGTTCACTTCTGGTGAAACCTCTGCTTCATCTGCCCATGACAATTTCCCACTCCAAGCTCCAGATTCCAACAGCTTTGGTGATGTCCTCGATGAACCCTTACCCAATTCCATAATCCTCGTACCTGATTGACTTACAATTGGTTCGCCTTCTCCGAAGGATTCCGAGCTCTCTTCCCCATGGTAGCGCACGTTATGGTAACATGCGCTGAGAGAGAAAACCAGTGAGAAGGCGGTTATTTTTTTTTATATTTAACTATGACAGATAAATATATGTATAAGACACGCATATCTTACTTTCATTTGTTTGGTATAAATATCAAATATCAGTAACTATTTATCTGATACAAGTAAAATAATTCAGATAGCTACTGACTTCTTATGAAATAACCGACTCTCTTATACGTTTTTGAACAAGACCAACTTTTCAGAAAGTATTTCTCTTATATATAATGTTTTCAGCGAGCACGTCCAAAAAGTTTCTTCAAATTACACAAGCATTTAACTAATTGTTTTCATTGATACCGTTAGTTATAACGAACTAATTCAATCTCAAATGGACTTTTAATGTGCATATATATATATATATATATATATATATATATATATATATATATATATATATATATGTATTTGTGTGTGTGTGTGCGCGCGCATTGTTTGACTGAAAATTATCGAATACTTTCCAAGCAAATCAATCGAAATAATTCAAAGGGTAAATCATAGCTAATCATAATTAATCACTGAATTAGAAGACCAACTTGAGACATAGAAATAATCAATTATGGAACAATATAAACGGGGTTTTATTCATCAAGGTGACTTGACCTGCCTCTCCTTGAAGAGGTTCAGGATCTTACATTGATCTTGTTTCTTGCTCCACTTATGGAGTATATCTTTCTATTTCTGGAGTATTCAGAGTTGTGTCGAAGAAGAAGCCCCCCTTGGGAGGTTCTCTCTCTTGGTATTTATAGCCTCAGGCTTTTTCATCTGGTCACGAATGGGCCCCTCCTTTTGTTGTGGAGACGTCCCCTCATTTGTTTTAAGGACAGCTGTCATAAGTCAAGAGTCAGCGGCGTTGACCATTTACTACAAAGTGGTCGTGATGGGGTTGACCCCCTGGTCGCAAAATGGCCGAATATCTGCCAATACAGTTAGTCCCTCCGTTCGTCGAGGTCGTGCTCGAGTCGACTTCGGCGGACGGATAGAGCGGCGTGATCGGGGAGGGTCCTTAAAAATGAATTTTCGGAATCGAACTGTTGGTTGGCGAGTGGAGCGTCATCCTGCGCAGTCGTTCGTAATGGCGCACGTTTTCATGAAACCGAATCACTTCGTGCACGGTTATGTATTAATGGCGATCGTTGGGTCCCGTGCAGGCAGAATCCGTTATTTATAACTAGAGAAGATGTGTCATTTTGTTCTTTACATGTTCATTGTTCTTCTAAGAGAAATCTCGAGAAGCCTTTTCTTCTGTCAAATCGCATTTTCCCTATTCTTCTGATCATTATCATCATTGATTTCTCCGTCTCCCTTGTCAAAGTTCTTCTTTCTTTCGCTCGTGAATCGATTATGGCAGGCACTTCTTCTCGCGGCAATCGCTCGGCTAATTCTCCGGGGGTCGAGAATCCCGCTCCGGCAAATGAAAGGTTAGAGTTGGTGGGAGGTGAGGAAATTCCTTCGGTCGATGAAATTCTACCTCAACCAAGAGATCAAGTGATGGATTTCAGTGCACCGGGCGGCGTGGAACAGGGGGACATTGCTTCTTTAATGGGGGAAGTGGGGATAGCTCAAATGCGGGAGCGATGGCGTATCCCACATTATGCCGAGATCGCTCTTGCGAAGACCGAGGACAGGGTACAGATTGACCGTCGAGGGTATTGCTCGTTCTATGCTTATCCCTTCCAGGTGGGGTGTACACTCCCGCTCCCGATGCTGATAGTAGACTTCTGCCGCTATTACGAGGTATGCCCGGCCCAACTTTCTCCTTGTCTCTACAAATTGCTCCTCATGTTCATCAAATATGTGGAGCTAGCGGGTAGGGAGGTCACTTTGAGGCATGTGCTCAGTCTTTTCGCTCCCCAAAAAATCCGCGGCACCATGATCCATGCACGCTCACGAGGATCTAAGGGCTTGATGGTTGGGCTGGACGACGAGTTCATTCGTCATTCCTTTGAGAATTTTTTCTATATTCGGATTGAACACCTGGTGGCGGACCCAAACAGATTCCCGGAAGTTTGGAACTTTGCACGTGAGACTTCGTTCCTGACTGGGCATCCGCTCTATTTCGACTTTCCTCATGCTTTGTACTTATGGTTATTGATTTACCTTCATTTTTGTAGCTGAAAAGTTGTCGCCGCCTCCTTTGGAGGGGATCCGAGTCTGGGTTGAGGCAGTGCTTCCTCGTACTGCGGGCATTCGCACCTAGGCGGCTTTCTGGGAGAGGCATGGTCGCAGGCCCGTGACAGGTGGTATTTTGGCCCTTTCTCTTTTCTATTTCGTTTTGTTCTGACTGCGTCTATTGATTCGTTTGTTCATTGTACCTAGAGAGACCACGTCGTGCCAAAGCTCCACAATTGGCTTTCCGTCGGCCGGGTGCACTTGCTAGGCTAGCTGCTGCGCCTGTGCCTCGTCGAGTACCGAGGGCGGCGTCGGTTGAATCGTCAGCGACCGCGTCCCCAACGCGGGCTATGCCACAATATGAGAGGCCGTCCGGGCTTGTTCGTTCTCGGACGGGTTCGCCTTCGAAAAGGAGGAGGATAGGCCTTCGCAGAAACGTCGAGTGGCATTTGTGGCGGCTCCTCCATCGGTGATCAACTTGGATGCTCCCCCGACGGATTCGGAGGGCGGCAAAGCTGTGGCGCTTGCTGGCGAGGAGAAGGAGTTAGTCGAAGTTGAACCTGTTAGTTCTAGCCAAGGGAATGTTGCTATCTCGACGACCCTGTCCGAAGTTCCTGTTGCCGAGGCAGAGGGTCGATCCGTACAGGCCATCGTAGAGACCTCTGATGTACCAGTGTTGGCCACGACGAGTTGCTCTACCCCAATGGTGGCGGAGAGGGGGAAGGACGTGGTGGAGGACGAGTATGAATCTGAGTCCGATTTGGACCCCGACGACGTTCGTATGTTCGAGGAGGGTATTACAAATTCTACGGTGCGTGCAAGGGGACCGGCTCGTTATATTGAGGTTCCCTCGGATTTGAACTTACTAACTGAAGGAAATAGCTTGGTGTCGCAATTCGAGTTGTTATGTTCGGAGGCCGAGAACGCGTCTTTGAGGAGCGTTTCGGACATTGAAGTGATGGACGAAGTGGCCGTGATGGGCCTGAGGGTACGTAGTACGTTCCCATTATTATTTTTTTTCTTTCCCTCTCGTTTTAGCTTTTGCCTTAACTTTGCCTTTCCTTTGTTCTACAGACTTACTTGTTGGAGGTGGAGAACATCCGCAAAGCCAAGGTTCGCTCGAGGATCTTCCTGCAGATGCTGGGGAAATACCGCCGTTATCGTGATCGGTGCCGAGGGCTGCACGAGCGT